GGACCTTCTGATGACCTCTCATCCGGACGGATATCAGGTTTCCGTACATGGCCTTCTCGGCTCTTCGGACCATTGTCTGATCCGAAGTGTGGTGCCCCTCACGCTCCCCTGGCGGTTGCGTTCTGCAGGTTGCCGCCGTGTTTGGCATTACAGGTCGGCGGATTGGGATGGAATGCGGTCTTTCTGTGCATCCTACCCATGGGAGCGGGTTTGCTTTTCGCCGGATGATCCCAGCGCTGTTGCTGACTCTGTCACTGATGTGTTGCTACAGGGAATGGAACTATTTATTCCATCATCTGTGGTACCCATCGGAGGCAGATCTCAGCCTTGGTTTGGTCGCTTCTGTAAGACTGCATTACGCAGTAAGCAGGAGTGTTATCAAGCCTGGGCTGCGGCTTCGGCAACTCGGAATGTAAACAGCAGCACACTTGAAAAGAAGTATAACTTCGCCTCCAGGTCCTTCAAAAGAGTTATTGCCAAGGCAAAATCAGAGCACATAGGCAGAATAGGCGAGAAACTAGTTCGCCTTCATTCGGGAACCCGTGCATTCTGGTCTCTCGTCAAGGCTGTCCAAGGGAATTCCTGTAAGCCATCACTACCATGTCTGCACAGAGAGGACGACTCACTGGCCTAAGACGCAAAAGACAAAGCTGACCTTTTAGGCTCCCTTTTTGCGTTCAACTCGACTCTTGATGACAGGGGGAAAACACCGCCGACCATACCACAGTGTGAGTGCTCCATGCCGGATGTGCTGTTCTCACAGCGCTCGGTTCGCAAAGCACTTCTCTCCCTGGACATCCAGAAGTCGAGTGGGCCTGACGGAATCCCCCCAATTGTGCTGAGGACGTGTGCTCCGGAGTTGGCACCAGTCCTAACGCGTCTTTTCCGGTACTCCTACTCTCAAGGCGTAGTCCCGAATTCATGGAAGACAGCTTTTGTCCACCCGATCCCTCAAAAAGGCGACCGCTCAGACCCATCCAACTATAGGCCTATCGCCATCACCTCCTTTTTCTCCAAAAAAATGGAATCCATTATTTACTGTCAGCTTATGCGGTACCTTGAGGATCACCAGCTGATTAGTGACCGCCATTACGGTTTTCGTCGGGGTCGATCAGCTGTTGATCTTCTGGTCTACCTGACTCATAGATGGGCGGAGGCAGTAGAGTCCAAGGGGGAGGCGTTGGCCGTTAGTTTGGACATTGCGAAGGCCTTAGATTGGGTTTGGCACAAAGCGCTTCTTTCCAAGCTCCTTTCCTATGAGCTTCCCGAGAAATTGTGCAATTGGATCACCAGCTTCCTTGCAGATCGGAGCATCAAGGTCGTTGTAGACGGTGCATGCTCCGACTACAAGCCTATTAACGCTGATGTTCCACAAGGCTGTGTGCTGTCACCAACGCTGTTTCTTCTGCATATCAATGATACGTTGCTAACTGGTAACATTCATTGCTATGCGGATAACAGCACTGGTGATGCTCTATACACCGGCCGTGCCAATATTTCTCGAGAAAACTTCGCCGAGTACCGAAACAAACTTGTGTCTGAAGTCGAGTCTTTGCTGAACAAAGTCTCGGATTGGGGGCGACTAAATATAGTCCAGTTTAATCCTCTAATGTATATACATGTTGTTACAGTAAATACACTTTTCCACATTAAACTCACAAATTAATGAATATGAAGGGGTACTAAGAGCCACAAATAAACTACTACTAAGTAATTCAAATATTTAGTACTTACAACTATTATTATATTATTTTTCCAATCGAAATCAGTGTTGATCTTTGCAGCTGACAAAGTGCATAACTGATCTTGTTAACCTGAAATAATTGTAGCTTGGATCGGGATATTGTATGAAGGGATTTTCTGGCAATTAATTGGAAGAAGAATTATAAGGAATTGATTATAGGTCTAATTATTGAAAAATTGAGTACTATCCTCGCTAGAGTTATTATAATTTATTTTAGCACCATGATCACTGCTATCAACTGTAAAAGTGATCCACTTCTTCAACGCATCTGCGACATAAACGCTTTTATATTTGCGTTTGGAATATCCATCTATGCTAACAATCGCGTACCGATCATTGTCAAGTACGGCATTAATCCTGAAAGGTCCTCTAAATTTTGGGTGTAACTTCTTACTTTTACCATTCGCAGGAATGTGATAGTTTGGAATCATTACAAGGTCACCTACTGAAAAGAATAGAGTTGGTGCCTTTTTTGTATTGTAATATTTCTTAATGGCGTGCTGATTAGATTTCGTTCTTTCTACACGCAAATTAATTTAACTAGGCAACCAAAACACAAAAGGCACTAACTCGACGACCCAATTATAACGATATCTTGCCAATTAACCGGGAGAAGCTCTCAAACTAGGAATGCGCGGTTCGAATCCTAGACCGTATATCTAGTCGACGCGCATACACTATTCCGCACTCTAGCACGAGTTAACTATCGCACAATTCACATATCTACGTGACGAAGAAACACGCACTTTATCTAGCTAAGATGCACAATTACTTTCAAAAAAATTACTTAAACCGTAAAACCCCATAAAAGCCTCTGGTACGGGAACCTAAATCCTAGACCACCAAATCCGAGGCGGATTTCACGAAACCCAATTACGTAGCGAAGCCGCGTCCAAATCCAAATTCTAGAAACATACGTGACACCTGGTAAGATCCGGCGATTGGCAAAGTCGAACGTGATTGGGTGCCGTCCTAACATAACCAAATTTGGGCATAAACAACGCCATCTTGCGTTATTTGGCACTACCCATTTTAATGCATCGCCTACCTTCCTGTAGACTTTACCATCCTTTACAACGTAATTATCTACTATACCTTTGATATCCTTACTGTCACTATCTAGAATTGCTTTCACTAATTTAAGTTTTGGGTCTGTCATTTGAACTGATTGTAGCCACTCCGTAGTTGTAATATTCATAACTTCAAAAGCACTAATATCACCCCAAATCATTCACATTTGTTCCTCGGATAGGGTTTCGGCTTAGAGCATCGACGTGTCTCATGCTTTCACCTGGTCTATATTCAATACTTAAATTATATTCCTGTTACAACAACCACCACCTGGCTATACAAGGAATTAAGTCCCTTTTTCTCAATGTTGTCCTTAGGCATTACAATTTGTATACACCTTAAAAGGAATCCCTATTAAATATGTACGAAATTTCTTTAATAAAAAAAACAACGGCGAGTGTTTCTAACTCGTAAGAGTGTAAATGCTCCTCGTCCTTGTTGGTCTGTTTGCTAAAATATGCGACCGGCTTGAGTGGTAATTTCTCGTTCTGCCTCTGCAATATAATGCCACCAACGCCTAAATTACTTGCAGCGCAATGTACCTCTGTTAAATATGCAGGGTTGTTGAAAAGGACACGGGGGTGCAGCATTCAACAGCGGATTCCTTGATCCTGGATCTCCTATGACACCTACGTTGGGTTCGGGAGGTCAACGAGGCGTATGTGAACCCTGTAAAGGAGTATCACACGAGAGTGTCCGCCGCTTCCTTTTCTTAAAATAGGTTCAGGCGGGGATTACGGGTCTTCCGAGGTCGTCCCGGTCCCAGCGCCTTAATTCTTCAATATGTGCTACGTTAGCAGCATAAGGTGGACTGTAGTAATATTTAAAGGTGAAGGATCTCTTCAGAATAAAACAGCAATTATCTTCAAACCGCTCCATGAGAGAGTAATTACTTTCCCCATCACTTCCCCATATGTTTTTCTTTTTTGATTATATATTATACTGGTAGCTGGTCCCGAACGATTTACATGAAAACCAGCCTAACGGGGTATCAAAAACGCTTTACCCGAAAGAGAGCCGCGCCCTCTGTGCAATTTCGCAACTCAATTACATCAATTTGTACTATCACTCTCCCACGGTTTGCCCAATATCTTTATTTGTATAAGACATACATTTATACATTTTATTTATGAAGATAGCACAACAAAATATCTATACATTACATTTTCATATCACAAAAAACCTTTTATTTATTCAACAAAATATGCCTATTTTACAACATATGTACTAAGTTAGAATTCTTAAATATCTAACATATAAGTTTGGAACAATGTTCTTTATTTGAAAATACAAATATCTTAACTAATACAATTCTTCACACATTTTACTATTTAAAACACTTTTAAATTTCTTATACAAAACTATCAATATTTCACTATTATAAGAGAATTTACACATGGAAACAACACAGAATTCACCTATTTTGCTCATACAGTCAACTTGAAACATTTCACAAGTCAATTTTACCTAAATTGAAATTTACAAACATTTAAATTTCCACTTATTTAGACTTTTCATTCTACAAATTAGCGCGCTGCTCTTATCAGAAACTAAGTGAACAACTAGTCCCTGCACGACTTCCATTGTCGGTAAAGTAGGTTGCAAATTTAGCATGCGCTACTATCAACAAATACAAGGTGAACAACCGATTTTTAGACGACATTCAATTGTCGGTAAAGTAGTATTCCAACAAGACTCTTATCAGTTATCAAGGTTCTTATCAGATAACACAAAGAAAATATTTTATGAATCAAACATTGAAAATTGACATTTTATTTTTTATACAAATGTACTCAACTTATATAAGACAATATTATGCAATATTATTTTACATTAATTCCACTTATACACAAAGTGACCATTTCGACCGGGGAACAAATCCTGGTCTAACTTTATTTTAATATTTCTTTAAATTGAAAATAACATTGGAAAGGTAATTCAATCGGGGAACTGAACCCGGAAACATGAATTATATCTTAAAAATTCCCTATACCAAATTATTAAGAAAATATTACAAAGAAAACGATAAACTAGTCCGAGCTGGGAATCGAACCCAAGACCTTCACATTATTAACTCGATATTTCTTTAAGATTTAACTAAGCGTTTTCTTATAAGACAATTATTGCTTGATAATTTAACTTTAGAAGCTATTCGTAATCGGTTAACTAATAAATTGAAATATTTTTACAGTGCCAATATTGCTCTCTCGACTAATTTGGATTTGATAATTTGAACAGCTGTCTCTTGTTCTTCTCCCCATTTCCATGCAACTTTAGTTTTGGTAAGCGTTGTTAATGGTTTAACAATACTTGAGAATCCGATAATAAATCTTCGAAAAAAACTAGCTAATCCTACAAATTGCTTGACTTGATGTACATTTGTGGGAGTAGGAAAAGAAGCTACAGCTTCAGTTTTATTACTACCTGGTCGCAGGCCTTCGCAAGAGACCTCGTATCCTAAATAACCTAGTTCCCTTTTGAAGAAATAACATTTTTTTATATTCAATGTCAAGCCAGCACTACGTAACGATATCAAAATTTTGCGCACTTTTGCTAACCCTTCGTCGATGGTTGTTGCAGGAGAGAGCAAGTCATCCATATAAGGGATAGCCAAGTCGTATCTATCTTTTCCGAGTGCTTTGTTAACCATGTGTTGAAATACGGCAGGTGCGTTGACGAGACCAAACGGCATACGTGTATATTTGTAATGCTCGTCTGGAATTACAAATGTCATTAAGTGTCTAGACCCCTCGGCCATCGATATTTGGTAGTACCCCGACTTAAGATCGAGACTTGTAAAATACACTTTACCACTAAGACGGTCTAATTGATCATCAAGAACTGGAATTGGATATATAGATAGTGTCCTCCATTTTTTTAACAAGTACTATCGTGCTGGCATAGGATGAGTTGGAATCACCGATTATTTTGGCGTCTAATAATTCGTTTACTATGTCGCGTACAACAACTCTTTCACTATAAGGTAATCTGTAGAGTTTATATGATACTGGTGTATCGTCATGTAATTGTATTTGCATTTCAGTTTTGTCCGTCATCATGAACTAGGCATGCAATTTTAACGCAAAACAGTCTTGAAATTCGTTTACCATAGTCATAAGTTCATTTTCCTGCATCTGTGTTAAATCACTGCCAATGTTTAACATTTCGATAGTTATCTCATCATCGCCTGAGGTTTTTAAACGGTCAGTAGAGTTCATTTTATTTATCTGCAATTCAGTTGGTGGCTTTGTAGGTAATGCATCGGGCTATCCGTGCAGTACGTGAACCCGTGCGAGAAGTCTACCTTTCTTTAGTAAGACATATTTATTGGTGAGGCATATGACGGGAACATAACCCAGATATTCTTTTACGGCATACACTCCTGTTAGAGTAATTATTTTTTCTCCATCCTTAAAGCAGGTATTACCAGGTAAATATACGCGCCCCGTGTAATTTATATCGCAACATACTTTGACTATATGCATACCCCTAACAATACTATTTTTTAGAATGAATAGTTTTATTTTATCCGCCTCTGCTTTATATGAATAAAGTATTAAACTTGAAATAGTCTTAAAAACAACAACATCAGACATCTCTGTGACATTTTGTCCCAGTAACATATCGGTGTTCAAAACTCATGCACCACAAAAGCTTCAATATTTGCATCAACAATGTCTATACAAATATTTATTTTTACTCTTCCTATAGGTGTTAATGTACCAAATGCAAATCCTCTTATAAGTGGCAAAGTATCACAATTTATAAGTAAATTCAGTTCTTTAGGTAACTTTTTTTAATGATTGTACACTGGCTTCCAAAATCTACAAATGCAATTATTGGTGTATTGTTTGCTTTCACAATTTTATGATATATATTATTTTTTCGCGTTTCGTCCTGAGCTGTAATACGTTGTACCTTGTTTACATTACCCTCTGCATTTACATTTAATCTCTTGTTCTCTATGTTGAAGTCACGTCTACAGTATTCATTTTGAGCATTTTTGAAGTTTTAAGCATTTTTGCAGTTCTTTGTGGCATTTAGGTACAATGTGTCCTATCTCAGAGCAATTATAACAAGTGCAAGTCATAGCTGTTGCATTAGATAGTCTATTATCTTTACTGCTTTCAGTTCTTTTTATAGAACTTGAGGGAGCTCTTAATGTAAAAGTGGGCTTCTTGAAGTCTTTGGTGAAGTTTTTAATTGAAATACCGCGCAAATATTTAAGGAGTTTGTCTAGAGTTTTATAATTAGCACCTTGGGCATTTAGTTTTACATTACGGTCAAAGATGTCATATATTATAGAGTCAACTGCTGCTTTTCCCTTTATTTCGCAATTACTAATTAAGCTTTGTCATAAAAATATTCTTCCAGTGATTCTTCCGACCGATTCTTACTACGACTTCTTTGAGACAACATTTCTGTTACTCTGTCAGCATAATTACGATCATCTGAAAAAGTTTGCAACAGCTGCTTCTGCCATTGCTTCCATGACAGATCAATTGAAGGTAACCCTTCATACCAATGTCGTGCCAAGCCAGATAGTTTTGGTAAAGCATGAAAAATAGTCTGCTTTTCACTCCATCCGTATATAGCTGCAATTTTTTTCACTTTTTTAAGCCAAGATTTTGTCAATTGAGTTCTCTAACTAGGATCGAAAATTGGTATGACATTCTGGGTACCTAATAACGTATTTCGACCATGATTGCTGATTGCATCAATAAAACGTTCCATTACTCCACCGCCTGTCTTGCTTCGTCTACAGTGAGCATGATAGGTGTGGCGCCCAATTCCATGGTGTCTTACCTTTTTCTGAGAGTAATTTGACGAAGAGGTCTCAGAGCTACTAAGCACCTTTGATGATACCGCACTTGAGTTGATGCTATTCCATGTACTAGTACTTAAAGAGCGTGCAGATTTGTTGCATTTTCTTTGGAAATTACGAGGGTGCTTAACATGTGAGCGACTTCTATTTTGGAGTTTGTTTCTACTACATGTGCCATGTGAACTCTTCCGACTGTTACCACCTGTCATTCGACGATTTCGTGATCTGCACCTAGACCTAGATCGTACCTGAAATTCTTGTGATTGATTTCGCTGACTTCTACTTGCAGTTGAAACTATGCTTTTATTAAATTGTTTTCTCTTTTGTACCATATCACTATTAAGTTCTGGGGTATGCGCACTCTGGTCTGAGTCTGACAAAATGAATCAATAATATAATAGAATCTGGTCAAAAGATAAAAAGTCTGAGGGCCGGCTCGTTTATCCCACTTCTAAATTATTAGCTAAATCACTTCGAAATAAAAAATTAAATTATGATTTGGATCCAATACACTTTAATTACATTATTATTATAAGTTCTATGTTTAATCCCTATACTTATGTGCTGTTAACAAGTATTTTCGACAAAAATATTACAGTAGCTTCCCATTCTAAACAAACAACCGATTCCTGTCTCCAATAATGTTGCCATATTAAATACTCCCACATTTACTATTTTTACAAATATTAAAACGGAAACATTTTAAACATTAAAAGAATAGATTTATTATAAAATAATTCGAAAACAAAGACAAATATTTAAAATGTAATATAAATGTGTTAGTATTGCTAACAATGCTTATATCCTAATCGTGGGTATTTGTCTATTCATATTATTTAAATGATTTACCAATTTATATTATTTAAATGCTGTAGGTATTTTATTTTTTATTTTGATATAATTTATGTGACAAACGAACTTATAGTCCATCTACTGGTAAGTAGCTATTGCAACCCAATTGACACTGACGACCAACTTCAAGCAAAGAAGGCTACAGATGCAGTATGTACATTTAATAATAACAATAAATCTTTATTTCGGATAACAAATGAGATCCATATCAGAGATATTAGAAAAATCACTAAATAATACAGCTAGGTGGACGGAGGAAGTAAAATAACACGCACGCACGCATTCACGCATGCACATACGCACGCAAACGCGCGCGCACACACACACACACACAAACACACGTGCGCGCGCGCTCATACGCAGCCATACACACACACACACACACACACACTCACACACACAGATAAGTCAGCCATGGAGGACCTTAATAATTTGCCTCATTATAGGACAGTCATGTCTTTGTGCTATAACACCCAGGATACTGTTGGCGCTATTCCTTGTTCTGCTTTGTAGCGATGCGGCTTTTTTGGTTAACCCCTCGGCGCGGGCCTCACAGAACATGCCTGAAGCGCTGCAGCAGGGGGGCATTGTTATATTGCACCTTTAATGATTTATATGCCCTTTGTGTTTAGTAAACCCAAAGGGACCACGAATAGAAAGACCGGCAGTATGCCTTAAAAAGAGTTATTATAACGACATTACTGCATCGTGCAAACCTACAGGCTAACATATTACTCCGGGTCGCTTAAGTTCTACGTTCTCTCTCTATGTACATTTCATCACGCAAATCCTCGGTCACGTAGTGTCCCAAGTATCTGAATTGTGATAGCCTCGATAAAGCAGTGTTGTAGAGTCTGACAGGTGGTATGTACGAGGGACCCTTATTATTAGCTTTAAACAACACAAACTCACTTTATTTATCGAAATTAAATTTATTTATTCGATTGCAAATATAATCATCCGCACACTTACTTTTTACTTTACATCATCATCATCATCATTACAGCCCTTCACAAGTCCACTGCTGAACATAGGCATCCCACAAGGAATGCCACAAACCACGACCCTGAGCCACCTGCATCAATCGACTTCCTGCATGTATTACCCGGTCGTAACTGCATCTAGTGCGGGTACGCCCTACACTTCGTCAGCCGGTGCGAGGCCGCCACTCGAAAACCTGTTTCCCCTGTAAGTTATCGGTTCTTCGAGCTATTTGGCCAGCCTATTTCCACTTCATCTTACTAATCCATTGGGATATGTCGATCACTCTGGTTCTACTGTAGTTATCCTGATTTCTAAGTTTATCAAACAGAGAAACTCCGAGCATAGTCCTTTCCATAGTTCGCTGAGCGACCTTGAACTTCATCATCCGGCCAGCAATGAAGGATCACGTCTCAATTGCATAAGTCATCACTGGCAACACGCACTGGTTGTACGGTCACGTTTTCAAGTTTTGAGGTATACCTAACGAGAAGATTTGCCCTTATTTCCCGAACTCTGCGCAGCTGAGTTGAATCCGTCGATTGACACCTTGCTCAAAGTTGGACTTACCTAGTTAGACTATTTGTCCCAGGTAAACATACTCGTCAACAACTTCGCGCTTAGTGGTCCCAACAACTACCTGCATACCTATGCATGAACATTAAACATAATCTTTGTTTTGTCCATGTTCTTCTTAAGACCTACCGTTTAGAGGCACTATTGAGGTCATTAAGCATAGTGCTTTGGTCCTCCAGCGATTCTGCCATAGGAACTTTATCGTCGGCAAATCAAAGGTGAGTAACGTAATCGCCGTTGATGTTAATACCGTATCCTTTCTTGTCCAGAAGCTTGAAAACGTCTTCCAATGCAGCATTGAAGAGTTTCGTTTAAATACCATCACATTGTCTTACACCTCTCTGCAGTTGGATAGGTTTCGCAGTCTGGTTCTGTACTCGGATAGCCATAGTAGCCCTACTGTACAAATACTTCAGCTCTTCGATATACCGACAGTCAACTTTGCACTGCTGATGGAACTGCAGCATCACCCAAATTTCGACGGAATTAAAAGGCTTTCTCATAGTCCGCTACGCCAGACAAAGTGGCAAATTGTACTCCTCGGACCTCTGTACAATTTGCCGAATGTATGTAGTCAATGGTACTAAAGCCTTTACGGAAACCGGCTTGTTCGGAAGGCTGGAAGTCGTCGAGTCTGCATGTGAGACGATGCGTAATGACTCTCGAAAACAGCACGTAGACGCGGGTTAAAAAGGGAAATCGGTCTGTAGTTCTTCAAGAGAGCGTTGTCGCCTTTCTTCAAGAACAAGACCACCGCACTTTTGCTCCACGCCTCCGGTGTAGTGCCACCATGAAGGACGGATTTAAAGAGCTTCTGAAGGACTT